AGTATCATATGGTTCTTGTTCTTTCTTTTATTAATGTGTTGTATCACATTGATTGATTTGCGGATGTTGAACCAACCTTGCATCCCTGGAATAAATCCCACTTGGTCGTGGTGAATAATCCTTTTAATGTACTGTTGAATCCTATTGGCTAGTATTTTGGCCAGAATTTTTGCATCTGTGTTCATCAAGGATATTGGTCTGTAGTTCTCTTTTTTGATGGGATCCTTGTCTGGTTTTGGGATCAAGGTGATGCTGGCCTCATAAAATGAGTTTGGAAGTTTTCCTTCCATTTCTATTTTTTGGAACAGTTTCAGGAGAATAGGAATTAGTTCTTCCTTAAATGTTTGGTAGAATTCCCCCGGGAAGCCGTCTGGCCCTGGGCTTTTGTTTGTTTGGAGATTTTTGATGACTGTTTCAATCTCCTTACTGGTTATGGGTCTGTTCAGGCTTTCTATTTCTTCCTGGTTCAGTTGTGGTAGTTTATAGGTCTCTAGGAATGCATCCATTTCTTCCAGATTGTCAAGTTTGTTGGCGTAGAGTTGCTCATAGTATGTTCTTATAATTGTCTGTATTTCTTTGGTGTTAGTTGTGATCTCTCCTCTTTCATTCATGATTTTATTTATTTGGGTCCTTTCTCTTTTCTTTTTGATAAGTCTGGCCAGGGGTTTATCGATCTTATTAATTCTTTCAAAGAACCAGCTCCTAGTTTCGTTGATTTGTTCTATTGTTTTTTTGGTTTCTATTTCATTGATTTCTGCTCTGATCTTTATGATTTCTCTTCTCCTGCTGGGTTTAGGGTTTCTTTCTTGTTCTTTCTCCAGCTCCTTTAGGTGTAGGGTTAGGTTGTGTACCTGAGACCTTTCTTGTTTCTTGAGAAAGGCTTGTACCGCTATATATTTTCCTCTCAGGACTGCCTTTGTTGTGTCCCACGATTTTGAACCGTTGTGTTTTCATTATCATTTGTTTCCATGAATTTTTTCAATTCTTCTTTAATTTCCTGGTTGACCCATTCATTCTTTAGAAGGATGCTGTTTAGTCTCCATGTATTTGGGTTCTTTCCAAATTTCCTCTTGTGATTGAGTTCTAGCTTCAGAGCATTGTGGTCTGAAAATATGCAGGGAATGATTCCAATCTTTTGATAACGGTTGAGACCTGATTTAGGACCAAGAATGTGATCTATTCTGGAGAATGTTCCATGTGCACTAGAGAAGAATGTGTATTCTGTTGCTTTGGGATGAAATGTTCTGAATATATCTGTGATGTCCATCTGGTCCAGTGTGTCATTTAAGGCCTTTATTTCCTTGTTGATCTTTTGCTTGGATGATCTGTCCATTTCAGTGAGGGGAGTGTTAAAGTCCCCTACTATTATTGTATTATTGTTGATGTGTTTCTTTGATTTTGTTATTAATTGGTTTATATAGTTGGCTGCTCCCACGTTAGGGGCATAGATATTTAAAATTGTTAGATCTTCTTGTTGGACACATCCTTTGAGTATGATATAGTGTCCTTCCTCATCTCTTATTATAGTCTTTGGCTTAAAATCTAATTGATCTGATATAAGGATTGCCACTCCTGCTTTCTTCTGATGTCCATTAGCATGGTAAATTCTTTTCCACCCCCTCACTTTAAATCTGGAGGTGTCTTCGGGTTTAAAATCAGTTTCTTGTAGGCAACATATAGATGGGTTTTGTTTTTTTATCCATTCTGATACCCTGTGTCTTTTGATTGGGGCATTTAGCCCATTAACATTCAGGGTAAGTATTGAGAGATATGAATTTAGTGCCATTGTATTGCCTGTAAGGTGACTGTTATTGTATATTGTTTCTGTTCCTTTCTGATCTACTACTTTTAGGGTCTCTCTTTGCTTAGAGGACCCCTTTCAATATTTCCTGTAGAGCTGGTTTGGTGTTTGCCAATTCTTTCAGTTTTTGTTTGTCCTGGAAGCTTTTAATCTCTCCTTCTATTTTCAATGATAGCCTAGCTGGATATAGTATTCTTGGCTGCATGTTATTCTCATTTAGTGCTCTGAATATATCATGCCAGCTCTTTCTGGCCTGCCAGGTGTCTGTGGATAAGTCTGCTGCCAATCTAATATTTTTACCATTGTACGTTACAGACTTCTTTTCCCGGGCTGCTTTCAGGATCTTCTCTTTGTCACTAAGACTTGTAAATTTTACTATTAGGTGATGGGGTGTGGACCTATTCTTATTGATTTTGAGGGGGGTTCTCTGAACCTCCTGGATTTTGATGCTTGTTCCCTTTGCCATATTGGGGAAATTCTCTCTAATAATTCTCTCCAATATACCTTCTGCTCCCCTCTCTCTTTCTTCTTCTTCTGGAATCCCAATTATTCTAATGTTGTTTCGTCTTATGGTGTCACTTATCTCTCGAATTCTCCCCTCGTGGTCCAGTAGCTGTTTGTCCCTCTTTTGCTCAGCTTCTTTATTCTCTGTCATTTGGTCTTCTATATCGCTAATTCTTTCTTCTGCCTCATTTATCCTAGCAGTGAGAGCCTCCATTTTTTATTGCACCTCATTAATAGCTTTTTTGATTTCAACTTGGTTAGATTTTAGTTCTTTTATTTCTCCAGAAAGGGCTTTTATATCTCCCGAGAGGGTTTCTCTAATATCTTCCATGCCTTTTTCGAGCCCGGCTAGAACCTTGAGAATCGTCATTCTGAACTCTAGATCTGACATATTACCAATGTCTGTATTGATTAAGTCCTTAGCCTTTGGTACTGCCTCTTGTTCTTTTTTTTGTGGTGAATTTTTCCGCCTTGTCATTTTGTCCAGATAAGAATATATGAAGGAGCAAGTAAAATACTAAAAGGGTGGCAACAACCCCAGGAAAATATGCTTTAGCCAAATCAGAAGAGATCCCAAATCGTGAGGGGGGAGAAAGGTTCAGAAAGAGGTTCGGAAAGATAAAACAAAAACCAAAAACAATTAAAAAAAAGAAAACGAATAAAGAAAAAATATAAAAAAGAAAATATATATATATATTAGATAAACTAGTTAAAAAACGTTAAAAAAGAAAAGGGTAAAAGTTAAAAAAAATTTGGCAGAAGAAGAGAAAAAAAAATTAAATTAACTGCAAGGCTAAAGAATCATGGGGAGAAAGCTATGAATTCCGTGCTTTGCTTTCTCCTTCTCTGGAATTCTGCTGCTCTCCTTGGTATTGAAACTGCAGTCCTTGGTAGGTGAACTTGGTCCTGGCTGGGTTTCTTGTTGATCTTCTGGGGGAGGGGCCTGTTGTAGTGATTCTCAAGTGTCTTTGCCCCGGGCGGAGTTGCACCGCCCTTACCAGGGGCTGGGCTGAGTAATCCGCTCGGGTTTGCTTTCGGGAGCTTTTGTTCCCTGAGTGCTCTCCATAGAGTTCCGGAGGGCGGGAATGAAGATGGCGGCCTCCCGGTCTCCGGCCCGGAGGAGCCGAGAGCCCAGGGCCCCACTCCTCAGTGTGCCCTCAGAGAACAGTGCCCAATTACTCCCGTCACCCTGGCCTCTGGCCGGGCTCCAAGCTGACCGAGCCTGTGACCTGTTCAAGGTAACCCCGAGCTTAGAGCTCACTCCTCGGCTCTGTCTCTGTAGCTGGCTTCCCCGTTCTAATACCTATAAGCTCTAAGACACTCAGACACCCCCGATCCTTCTGTGACTCTGCGGGAGCTGAGGCCACGCTGACCCCGCCTGGGCTTCACCCCGGTTAAGCCTCTGGAGCGATGTCCCTCAGCGGATGTCCCTCAGCGGAACAGACTTTTAAAAGTCCTGATTTTGTGCTCCGTTGCTCCGCCGCTTGCCAGGAGCCGGCCCCTCCTCCCGCGGTCTATCTTCCCGTCGCTTTGGATTCACTTCTCCGCCAGTCCTACCTTTCAGAAAGTGGTTGATTTTCTGTTTCTAGAATTGCTGTTCTTCTTCTCTTTGATCTCCCATTGGATTTGTAGGTGTTTGCAATCTTTAGATAAGCTATCTAGCTGATCTCCGCTACCTGAAGTAGTCTCAGCCTGCTACTTCTCCGCCGTCTTGACTCCTCCCCCAACACTCTGTTCTTTTATCCACAACTGTTAATAAGGCCTGTTATTAACTGTTAATAGGGATTCTTTTCGGTGTCTTACTGTATTTCTTTCAGAACTACATGCTAAGTCAACATAATACATCTACAGAGGCAATAATATAGCAGAGAGCCCAGAAATCAGATAGACCTCCCTGGATACAGGTCCACCATGTGTAGTTACCCCAATGTTTGTAACATGTCTCTGATTCTGTTTTCTCACCTTTAAAATAGAGCTCATACTAACAGCCACCTCATTGATTTAGAGTCAAGAACAAAGTGGAGATCCTTGGCCCATTTAGCAAGTGGTAATGATTACATGATGATGGTGATGATGATGGTGGTGATGATGGTGGTGATGATGAGGATGATGATGATAGTAAAGGGACACAAATCACAAAGACACAAGATGTAGGATAACGAAATGTTTATTGAGGTCAAATAAATATACCTCCATAATTACTGTCATAAATATAAATATTAGCTTTATACTTAAGTAGCAATACCATATAATGCTTCTATAAATAAGTCTATATTATTAAAATGACATAAATAAAATATGTCCTGACAATAATAAATAAATTCATAAATACGAAATATTGATCCTGGATATGAAGTTATTTAGGGTTTTTTGTTCCTAAGGGAAGGGGAAGTAATCTTTTTGATGGGAATAGACAATTGTTTTAAAAAAATAAATTTCTGTGTATAAAACACCGACTACAATAAAATGTTATCAGCAATTCTCATTAAGCTTGGAGGGTTGACCTTCTAGTCTTCCAGACGCAGGTGATATTTTTCTCTTTTTTAAGCTAAGCAGGGGTTAATTTAGAATCCACGCATGATTGTAAATGTTGGCTTCCCATTTTGCTTTTGGTAAAAGAAAACCTGTAGGGGATCTTGTTGTTATTTCTAACAGGCAAGAAGGGTTAGTCATCCATTTTCCAGCTTTGTTCTGGTCAAATGCAGGCATCTCTCAGGGCTATAAACAGCAAATTCAGTTCTCCAATTGCTTTGATCTCTCCATCCTCTCCAAGCTGTAAAAATAAGAACAAATGAGTATTTGAGCATTTATAACATGCTTTTTAAAGAGGATCAAGTCAGAAAAAGATGGTTAGGTTGTTGGAGACAGAAACCGAGTTTTTGCCTTTTGTAAGATTACTAATAATACCCTTTTACCAAGAAAATAATATGATTTGCCATAGACCTTAGAATTATGGTTAACTGAACTGAAAAGGACACCAGCAGGCACCACTCTCAACTGATCTACACAAATCAAGCTGTTTCAAGTCACTTGCTCACGAGAGCAAGTGGACTGAAGCTGTGCAGGCATCTGCAGAAACAAGTGCTGCCCCCTCATCCCCGCCGGTGCCCTGCCTCACCCCTTCATGACAGTCTATGACCAACTAATTATAACAGCTCGGCTCACACAGCGTTGAATCAAAACTGCACATTTACCAGTACACGTGGTTTTTTTCTGTTCCCACCTCCCTAACAAAGGGAAAAAATACAGATTTTCACTTTTGTGGGGAAAATACTAAATAAGTTCCGTCCAGTTGCTCAAATTAGTAGAAAGCCGAATACACATTCTAAACACTTCTTCTCTCCTCCTCCTTCCAAGTCCTATGCTAAAGAGGCTTTCCAACTACATAGGACGGGAAGGCAAATTCAAGTCCAAAGCATCCTCCTTTGAAATTCTCTAATCTATTAAATTTGCTCTAGATTCTTTCAAGGAAAACTGTAAGCCATCATCGTTCTCAGTGCTTTGTTCTCCTTTCTCTTCCTGTTGTCTTCCATCTTTCCCCCTTGCACATAATGCCAAATGGGACATTTTATACCTCAAAGATGCCAAAGAGCATAAAGAATGTCTCAGTTCTCTTGCCTTACTGTCTATCATGCATTCTACCACAGCCTGCTCTCTGCTATTACCTCCAGTGGCCCGGAATTAACACCTCCAAGCCCACCCTCCCATTTCAGTTAGTGCCGACAAGTTTTCCCTCAGGTTGAGCTTCCCCGGAGTAACATTCCTCTCTCACCTATGCATTCTGGAGCTACTGGTTTTTGCTTTGTTTTTTTTTGTTGTTGTTTGTTTGTTTGTTTGTTGTTGTTTTTAAAAGCACAACCACTCTTCCACATGACACCCTATTGCAAATGTGAAAATTGTTTCTCTCAAAGTGGGTTAATATCTTTAAAACCTATTTCCCCATGTGGATCCCCCTCAGATGTTTCTCTCTCACACTGCATTTTTCTAAGACGAACAAAATTAACTGACATCAGGAATTCTTCACACTGGAAGTGCAAAGCACTTCTTGGCAATGGCATTCTAATATTCAGCCCTCCACACCTGGGTAAGAGATCCATGACAAGAGAATTGATCTTCACAGTGGAAGACTACAAAGCTTTCAATGATCGGAGAAATGGTCACATTCATTAAATCATGGTTGGGAAGAAATACTTTTTTTGTAAAGAAATATCAAGGTGGGAAAAAAAGAAAAGATTGAGGTGACACCTGTTACTAAAAATTCCATCCGCGAGAACCTTCATGCTGCTGAGGTTTACCTGTACCCACTTGCAAGAGCATCACTTTCGCTGCTAGCAATCATTCCTCTGGTTTTTGGATGAGTCACAATTGCTAGTCTGAGCCTTCTACTAGTGTTCCTTTCCCCAAATAGGCCATGTGACAGTATCATTCTCTGTACAAATGCACACTAACCTACACCAGATAGATGCTCACTGGGGATTTGTTGAGGGAAGGAGGAGACTAGAAAGGAAGGGGGGAGGAAAGGAATGAAAGAGGATTTCCAGTTCAGACTTGCGTTCATTCTAATAAATCCATTCTATTAAAACTGCGTAAAAGAAATTGGGGGTGGCTCACTCTTGCTTCCAAATTAAAACCAATTGCTGTTAGTTATTATATTATAATCATTAAATAGAAGTATCAGTCACTCCAGAAATTCATCTTATAGGTAAGTCCAACTCTTCTATTATGGTTGTTCTGGATTTATTTCTCCAAGTTTTAGACCATCAAGTCAATGGCTTCCAATATTACTTCAAATAAATTTGTCCCCAGGTACTTCTCTATTTTTGAACAAGTGCTTGTTTAAATTACACAAATCAGTAGGAATCTCAAATTTCCTGAAGAATTAATAATACTAAAACTAACACAAATTGCTGCTGGAATCAGTGCTGGACAGGATTCACGAGACCTGCATTCCAGCCCTGGCTCTGCTACTGGCCATGCCCAGAACATGGGGTGATGAGATTAGAGAACCTAACTTCCTGGTCATTCTATAATTCACAAAATTTGGAGATTTATTCATAAATATACAGATATATATACATACATAATATATATATGTACCTAAATAATCAAACTGATGTAGGTGAATCAAGTAGAAAATTATACATGGGGGGGGAACAAAAGAAAGAAAGGGAAGAAAAGAAAAACAACATTTGTCTCTCTTATTAATAGGTTAGCATTAGTAGTTATTAGTAGTACCTTTTTCACTGTGTCCTTCAGGTTTTCCACATTTCTCTGAATATGCTGGTCATCACTGTCGATATGCTACAAAATGAAAACAGAGCACTTATTTTAACACTGTTATACTGAAGTCTTATGAACTTCAGCGTCCCTAACTGAGGTGTGTTACAATGCACCTGGAGTTAAAAGTTCTTAGCAATTTTACCCACAATGACCTAGATTTCACCAGTGACCTAGATTTTCAGAGCTCTTGAATTCCCTTGGACGCCAAAATCCAGTCATTTCCCTTACATGGGACCTCTCTTCATCTTTGGGAAATCCTATTGAGGTTTAAGTTTGTAGAAAGAGTGGAGTGGTTTATGCAAATTCTGTGAAGAATAAAACCCTAACTCTACAAAAAAAAAAAAAAAATCATTCTCAGAACAAGAAATGGACATAGAATGTCTTGTGTGAACAGGAGGCCCTCCTCCATAAATACTAGGTCCCTTCACTCTGCTCACTCCACTCCAGTCTTTTTTCATAATTTTAAATGTTTAGAGCTATCAAGGTCACATTCCTCTGCCATTGTCACTTCTCACGCCATCCAAAAGGCAACTATCTTTGCCTACCCAGTGCCGAACATTAAATCTTCCTGTTACCATCTCTCTTTCTTGTCTCTTCTATCTATACTCGGGGCATCCATTTCCACATCTAGGCATTTTTCTCTACAGTTCCTAACACCCTTCTCATCTCACATAACCTGAGGTGCTTTTTCCCAGGGACAAGGAGCCTTCTGTGCTCTTGTCTATTAGAACCCGTTCACCACCATATATTCAAAATGTGACTGAATTAAAGCAAAAACAAATATCTGTGATTCAAAATCACTTATGATGGTGTTGCCAAGGCACCTCTTGCTGCAAGCCTGGAAAGGGGCAGGGAATGTTGGTGGAGAAGGGCTCTAAAGAGGAGAAGGGAGGAAGGCAAGCAAGCAGGAGAGTCTGGAGTTAGGCTGAGGAAAGAACTCACACATTGGCTTAGCCTGTTGCTGAGCTTGGTCAGGAAGGGCACCACCTCCTGCATATAGGGCTGGAATCTATGGGATTGGGGGAGCAGCACTTCTTCAAGGGTAAAGTTCAATACCTCCTTCATCAGATAGCAGCGGTCTCCTCTCTGTAGGCAAAAGTGAAACAGCAGGGGTCATATTAGAGGGCATCCAGAAGACCCAAACCATCATCACAAGTATCCAAATAACCAAGGATGACATACTGTCCTGTTTATCATGAGTATGGCTTACATTGACTCCGTGGAACAATGTATCCCCAATGAGACGAACATCTGTGTTGTTATCTGCCAAACTAGCCTGGAAGAGAAGAAAAGACTAAGTGCCTGGACATCGAGGAGCTAGTAGAAAAGTCTGTGAGTAGAGATGCTCTCTATCCACTCTCCCCAGAGCAGCCCCATGAAGACTTAAAAAAAAAAAATTCAGATGTGTGCATGAGTTTAAAATAATGCACAGAGGAATAAGAGGGAAAACAGTCAGGTGGGCTCATAAATGGCCTCTTTGGAGTAAAACTCAATGTACATATCAAGGCCAAAACAGAAGGTCTTCTGGTAAAGACCAATCTCCAAAGAGTCTCTAAAGAGACATAGAAAAATAATCTTCTGGTCTACCAGCAAGGCTAGATGATGGGTTCTTAAAGATCTCAGTAACACTTTGGAGAAAATTTGAGTAACTATTATCAGGTTCCAAGTAGAGAAGATGCGAAAGAAAGATAGAGACTAAGATGAGTACCTCCCCAGCCAGCATGAAGGTGCGGTTGGTGATATAGGGCTGCTCGAAGTCGGAGTTGGCAAGCCTGCAGTGAGAGCCGATGGGCACAGCTGCTCCTCCCTGCACCCACAGGGCAATGAGGAGGCAGCTGGCAGCCAGAGCTCCCAGAAGGGAAGAGTTCACAGATTTCTGCAGGGCAGCCATTGCAGACAACTCTAACTGGAACAAATGTTGACTAGAAAAGGAAAACCTGGTATCAAGAGAACAAGAAGCAAAAACATAAAGGCAAACCATTAGGTATCAAGAAGTATATAGCACCTCAAACAAACCCATCGTCCTAAGTTTGCGGAAACACTTACTGTTCCGATGATTCTGTTTGTGAGGGGAAGGTAGAAGCTGCTGCTTTTTATAGCCCCCAGAATACACATTTTTTTGGTGAAAAATATGACATCAGCAAATATCTAATTTCCAGTACTGTCTTCTGAGAACTACCTAACCACTACAGGAGCCCACAAAACGCCACCTCCTATTTTTCCCACTTTGAAATGCGAGTGTTTCCCTAAAACGTCACTATTAGGGCCCCGAAGGTGTTTTTACAGATAAATCCAGAAACTGTCTAAAACCCACTTATTTTTCAAAAAAAACAACAACAACAATTGCTTTGTCTTCGTAGATTCCAGATTCTGTATAATATTTTTTGATCTTCTGCAGTAGCTGAGTAAACAGTTTGGTCATGGACTCATTTTCCCACCACCTTCATAGATTCTTATCTCATTAAAGGTGATCAGAAATAAAGGACCCATGTCTGTATACCCTGCTTTAAAATACATAGTAGTGATATTTGGAGGTAACTCTATTTTTAAAAATTTATTTAAAAATATTTAAAATATTTAAAATATTTATTAAATATTAAATATTTAAAAATATTTTAAAAATTATTTAAAATTATTTTAAAATAATTTTTTCTCTTTTTTTTAAATACACTGAATCCTGAGGAAGACTCACATTTTTTAAAGAACAGTGTTGACTAATCTAAGCACTGGTTTCTTCTCATTCTGTGACTTTCTAATGTGATCTTAACACAAATAGATCTTAACATTTTTTTATTGGGAGCACCTGGCTGGCTCAGTCAGTGGAGCATATGACTCTCTTGATGTTGGGGGGATGAATCTGCACCCCACATTGGGTATAGAGATGACTTTAAAAATTTTTTTATTGAATTATAACCAGCATCAATCTAGATTTGGAAATACTAAGGCTAAACCACCTAATCACTATTTTTCTTAACATATGAGTATTTTAAGAATACAGTGGCTATAGTGGCTCATCTTAAAATCTTACCTGTGCTCATTCTAAACAGCACACAAATTAAGTCTCAAAATAATATTCCCAAAATTCTTATAACAATTTTTATTATGTACATGGATGTCTATGGAAGAGAATCTGGCAATAAGGTGGTTATATATTGACTTTGAATTATTAAAAATACATTGAATTCTAAACAACGGCTAAAACTAGACTGGACACTCTCCCCCAGGGGTGTCCACAATAAGGAGCATGTGCACTGACCTATTGCTAGGAGAGGGAATGTGCAAATTTATTTGATCAGATTTTTCTCCTCAAAACTAGTCAAGATCAGGAGTATTGAACAGTAAGAAGGAAAGCGAATGATTATAGAATCTTGTGCATTGGTGAGATGGCAGAGACCCAGGTGGGGAGCCACGGTGAAGGATTAGAACAATGTGATGACACTGAGCATTTGGAAAGGGGGCTTAGGAGACAAATGCAAAAGGGAAGATTCGGGAGAGTAAATAAAAGCAAGGTCCATTCCAAACACTTGCTTGAGGTTGTTAATGAGCCCAAGATGAGGAAACGCTTTCTCATCCAATTTTCTATTATATGAGATATGGCCTTTTTTTTTTAAGATTTTATTTATTCGGGGCTCCTGGGTGGCTCAGTAGGTTAAAGCCTCTGCCTTCTGCTCAGGTCATGATCCCAGGGTCCTGGGATCAAGCCCCACATCAGGCTCTCTGCCCGGCAGGGAGCCTGCTTCCTCCTCTCTCTCTGCCTGCCTCTCTGCCTACTTGTGATCTCTGTCTGTCAAATAAATAAATAAAATCTTTAAAAAAAAAGATTTTATTTATTCATTTGACACAGAGAGAGAGAGAGATCCCAAGCAGGCAGAGAGAGAGAGGAGGAAGCAAGCTCCCTGCTGAGCAGAGAGCCCGAAGCGGGGCTCGATCCCAGGACCCTGAGATCATGACCTGAGCCGAAGGCAGAGGCTTAACCCACTGAGCCACCCAGGGGCCCCAGATATGGCCATTTTTGTCTAAAACTCTGAATAATTATATTAGCATTAGGGTTAAGCTATCCTGTGGATTAAATAGGCTTTTTGTTGGTTTGCCTGGGAACCTGACAAGCACACATAATTTTGTTCCCATGGAAAATAAGTTTTGACATCATCAAATTATGTGTTTTCCAGGAAAGAGTCTTAGTCTTTTTTATCTTTCTATCTCCAACACTTAAAACAGTGCCAGACATATAAAAAGAAATCAACAAAAAAGATGTCAAGTGAATAGATATATATAGATCTATAGATCTGTCAGTTTAAATAACGTACTACGTATCTTTGGGAACATGCATGGAGGTGATTTGGGACTGCCTTCATGGTACTTTTAAAATGAGGGTTTGGTCCTCCTTGCCAGCTTCATTATCACTCCTGAATAGGGAATAAATAGCTGCGAAACAAAAATAGAATGCCAGAACTTTGCAAACCAGTCTTTAACAGCAGCGGTCTGATTCCTTATAAACTCCTGATGGACCAACATTAGACAGATAGTGTTAATGGAGCCAAGATCTTAGGCTTCCATAAGCTTTTACCAAACCCGCTCAAGTGAAAATCTGCACTGGGATTTCTGAAGACTGATATAAGAAGTCTCAAAAACATTTGTTATTAGGAGAGTTGCAGAGAGCTGTGAGAGAGAGAGAGCACAAGCAGAGGGGAGAGGGAGAAAAGCAGACTCCCCACTGAGCTGGGAGTCAACTGTGGGGCCAACTGGGGCTCAATGTGGGGCTCAGCACGGGGCTGGTTCCCAGGACTCTGGGACCATGACCTGAGCCGAAGGCAGATGTTTAACTGACTGAGCAACCCAGGTGCCCAGTATTCGTTTGAAGTACACATCTCTCCAGGAGAAATCGAACGTCAGGCAACTCAGGTAAAAAGCTTTACATTCATCATACTCCTCAGTACAAGACACATGATCATTGTTCTCTGCAAATTCCTTCTCTCTCTCTCCCTCATCCCCTGTGTGTGTGAGAGAGAGAGACCTCACTTTCCTTACCCTCCTTCCCTCTTCACCACACACCACCCCCTCTACACCTGCCATCGGCCACTGCTCTAATGTATTTATATACATTTCTGAATCTTTGTAAAACATAAAGTGTCATTGAACCTGTATTTTGATTTTATAGGAATGGTTCTCTTTCTTAATCTTTCTTTCAGGACTGTGCTCTTGCAATCTGTGCATGTTACCATAAGTAGATCCTTTCTCTAACATGCCATTCCTTAGTGTGTTTCCATATTTTACCTTTCGCTCTGCCTTCAGTGGGCACCTAATCCATCTCCCATAGCAGGCTACAGACCCTGCAGCCATCAGCGACCTCATCCAAGCTATGTCATGGCATATTTTTTAGAATATTTTTGGAATAATTACCCAATCAGTAGGTACACTGGGCCTTAAAGTTGACTGATTTTTTACTAGATTCTGCCAAACTGCTCTCCAAAAAGATGGCATTGATTACTCTCTCAAATCATTGAATACAGGTTTGTTTCCTTACATCCGCACCTACTATCTAGCTCAGATTTTTGCCAGCTTTTGGAGGTTTAAAATACTATCTTATTACTGTTGCAATTTTATTTTTTTTCATACACTTGGAACCACTTGAGTTTCCCCTTCTATGAATTGATTGTTTTTATCAATTGCCCATTGTTCTAGCGGGCTTTGGTCTTTTATTGTTGTTGATTTATAAGAGTTTTCTGTATATTTTATGTAATTCTTCTCTTTTTGCTTATAGGCATAACAAACACTCCTCTCAATTTGTATTCTACTAACTTTGTTCTTTTTTTTTAACAGAAACTTAATTTGGATGACATCTAAGACATTATTTTGTTACATGGTTTGTACTTCTCAAGGCTTTATTTAGAAAGTCTCTTTCCACCTCCAGGTCACAGAGGTATTCTTCTATCTTTTCCTCTATTTATGGTTTTACCTTTTACAATCAGTCTTTAATGGCTTTTTGTATATGATGGAAATTAGAGAATCAGTTTATTTTCCTCCACATAGTGAGCCAGTTTTCCTAACACAGTTCACCAAACAGTGAGTCCTTTATCATATGTGAATTTCCATATACAAATAGCTATCTCTGAACTCTCTGTTTTGTTCCATTGGTTTATTTATTTTTCTTTTTGTTCTTGAGCCAGTTTCATAATGTTTTTATTAATGAGGAATGTCTTTATGTCTGGACAGGAAAGTCTGCCCTCTTTGCTCTTTTGCAAGGCTGACTTAGCTATTTATGGACTTTTCATATATTTTTTACAGAAATTTTATAATAAATTTCTCAAGTTACTGTAAAAAAATGCAGAAGAGACTTTGGGCTATCACTTAACTTGAGGAGGATTAATATCTTTATAATAGTAACTCATTCCATCTAAGAGCATTTATTATCTGCTACTTAAGATCTTTTATATCCTTTAATAGTGTTTCAAAATTTTCTTCATTGAGTCTTATGTATTATTTTTTAAAAGCTTTTATTCATTTATTTGAGAGAGCGAGAGAGATTGAGTGGCGGGGGAGAGGCAGATGGAGAGGGAGAAGCAGGCTCCCTGCTGAGCAGGAACTGGATCAGGACTTGATCCCAGGACCCCGGGATCATGACCTGAGCTGAAGGCAGACGCCTGACCATCTGAGCCACCCTGGTGCCCCTTGTGCATTATTTTTAGTTCCTAGTCACTTTATAGGCAAAGTAAGATTTTAAACTGTTATTAATCTCTTTCATCTTGGTGTGTGAATGAGTACCAAGTTGGGATTATTGGGATAGTCATCTCCTGGGAAAATGAAGAGCACATGTTTCTTTTTTCAGGTTCAGCAGAGCAGAGAGTTAGAGGTAGCTCCCAACAAAGCCCGAGATCCTTTATTTTCTTCTTA